ACGCGGATGATGTTTGAAATGCGTGTTCATTACAGAAAATTTCCTTTGGTTGCAGAATTCTAGTAGTCGGTCTCCTCGCTCATTCTTATCTCATTCTTATCTCCTAGACCATATGGCCCTACAATCATCTTCATGTGGTCATCTAGATTCGTTCTTCCAAGTTTGGCATTAAAGTCGCCTAGTATCACCACTATGTCTTTGTTTGGTATTTTATCAAGTACACCTTCGAGAGCCATATAAAAGTCTTCTAGTGTTGCTTGTTCTGCCGTGGATGTCGGGGCATATATTTGTATGATGTGGAGAATGGATTTTGAGCACTTTAGTCTCAGATGTATAATTCTGTCATTAACTGCATCATATCCATTTACGTAGTTCTGGAATGTGGGTGGTATTATAATTGCAACCCCATTGATGCTCTCTGTTTGGTGACCTGAGAAATAAATGGTATTGCCAGAGGAGCTTCGGAAATGCCCCTTACCCTTCCAATGAGTTTCACTGATGCCAAGCATAGAAATTCGATAATCAGCCATTTCTCTCTCTATTATATGTAACTTTCCAGGATGTTGGATCAAACCTCGTATATTCCAAGTTCCAAATCTGTTGGTTTTCCGAAGAGAGATTTTATTTAGTGTTCCAGTAGTCCTTTGTGCACCTGCGACCTGGTTCCCTGTCGCATTGAGCCCGGTAGCCCATTTCACATCTCCCACCCCGGACGTGGAAAGACGCCGATTGTCAATCGGTTCGCCTGACTGACCTAATCTAATTTTGTAACACTCCATATTGTAGAAATCTCTGCCCACACGTCACATAAAATTCAACCGTTAGATTTGTGTTTATGTCGTCATTCAAGACATACTATTTAAGAGAAATCCAAAATTGGTTAAAGAATAATCCTTCCCGAAATGTAGGACCCTTTCAGATAAGTTCATTATTCTGTCCTGCTTATCAGAAATCTGCTACTGCTGAGATATCAGTTAATGGGTTTCGTAAAGCAAGTATTTTTCCATTCAATCAAAATATCTTTTCAGAAGCAGATTTTATTTTGGAAAAACAAAGAGAAAGAACTCCGCCTGGACAACATACTTCTGATAAGACTTTGTCATTGAAACTAAATCACACCACTAGCTCAATTCAACTGTATATTGAAAAAACGCCCCCGAGACACCAAATTGGTAGCAGTGTGGAAATTAATCAGTTATCGAACATTGTAAAAGTTCGAGTCTTTTCACCTTTACCATCCTGCAGTTCATCGACATTTACTTCAAATAGGGGACGTAAAATCGGATCTGCGGCTTTAATTACAAGTACGCCGTACAAAAATGATTTAGAAGCTAACATTAAAGAAAAACAAAGAAAAGAATCACTTAAAAATAAAGAACAGTTGCCAAAATTTAAGGTTTTAAAGAAAACTAAAAAGAAGACGATGGTCAAAATTAAAAATATGAAGAAAATAACAGAAGAAAGTGAATCTTCAGATTCCTCAAACGTTCCTTATGATTCAGATATGGATACCGATCAAGAAAGTGACGAAGAGTGTATTTTCTGCACTGAACATTATTCAAAGGACCAACATGGCTGTCATATCAGTAGGTTATGATTACGGTCACGGGGCTCTAGGCACAATGTATGGAGACTCATTGTCAGTTGTCACTACTTGTCAGGATTGTTAGATCATAGGTTTTTGGACATTGTTGATTCCTAGAGACTTTGTTAATAAGTATGTTTAAATAAATGTATTAACTGCAATGAAATATTATTACTTGGCGCAGTCTAGTGGAAATTAATCGAAAATCATGGAAGCAAGGTTACCAAATCCATTATCATTTGAAGGCAATGTGGCCGAAAATTTTAAAAGATTTAAGCAAAGTTTTGAAATATATCTGATGGCATCAGGAAAAAGTGGTAAAAGTGATGAAGTTAAGGTAGCAATTTTACTCAATTTAATTGGAGAAGAAGGCATTGAGATTTATAACAGTTTGGAATTAACAGAGGTCCAACAAGGAAAGCTAGCAGATGTATTGGAAGCATTCGAGACTTATGTCACTCCTAGAAAAAACGTGGTTTATGAAAGATATTTGTTTTATAAGCGCAGTCAAGAAGAAGGAGAGCCTTTTGACCACTTTTTAACAGATTTAAAAAATAAAGTAAGAAATTGTGAGTTTGGTGTTGAAGCATTTTCAATGGTAAGAGATAGAATAGTATTAGGCACCAATAGTAAGGATGCACAACAAAGCATGTTAAAAACAATTAATTTAGATCTGACTAAAGCTATTGAAATATGTAAAATGCATGAAGTATCCCAAGCTCAAATAAAAGAAGTTCAGAACAGCTTAGAGAAGGTGAAAATTGAATCAATTGGAAGTAAAGTCAAGCAGGGGCATAATTCAGTCCAAACAGTCAGGGGTGCAAGTTCTTCTAGAAGTGAATTTAACTGCAGAAACTGTGGGAGTGTCCATGGACCAAGGAGGTGCCCAGCATATGGAAAAAAGTGTAGAAAGTGTGGTAAATATGGACATTTTGATAAAGTGTGTTATCATGGTAGGTTAGTAAGAGAGGTACAAGTGGAAGAAAGTGAAAGTAATGAAGTAGACAATTTCATGATTTCATCAATCACTGTTAATGAAATTAAGAATAAAAATAATAAAGACTGGATGGAAAATTTAAAAATTAATAACATTGATATACCTTTTAAAATAGATACAGGGGCACAGGTTAACATTTTACCCAAGGTTTTTGTTGAAAAAGTTTGCAAAATTAATGAATTAAAAGAAACTAAGGTCATACTTGAGACATATGGTGGTTTTAAGATCATTCCTTTGGGTATAATAAAACTTGTCTGTAAATATAAAAATATTGATCATTTATTAGATTTTGTTGTTGTAAAGGAGAGATCAACACCTATCTTGGGTTTATGTTCTACCATAGAGCTTGATTTAATTAATAAAATTGATAACATAACACTGCATTCTAAAGAAAAATTTGTAGAAATGAATAAAGATGTTTTTTTAGGTTTAGGTAAATTTCAGAAAAAATGTAGTTTAAAGCTTAAAGAAAATGCAGTGCCAGTGGCTAGGCCACCTCGTAGAGTCCCACTTACAATCAAGCCTAAACTTAAGAATCAACTAATTGATCTTGAAAAGCGAGGAATCATAGCAAAGGTTGATGGTCCTACGCAGTTATCTATGGAAGAAAAGTGCAAATTGATTCTGACCACAAGCCTTTGGAGGCATTAATGCATAAAGGCATTGCAGACATAATGTCGCCGAGATTACAAAGGATTAGGGTAAGATTATCTAAATATGACATAGAGGTAAAATTTAAGCCAGGCAAGTTCATGCATGTGGCAGATTTATTATCGAGGAATTTTATAAAAGATGCAGTGGATGATGATAAATTTATTATAGAAATAGTTCATACTATTGACATGACTGATGAGAAGAGAGAGCAATTTAGGACTGAAGTGGATGCTGATGAGGATCTGAAACTAGTAAAGAAATATTGTATACAAGGGTGGCCCAAAACCCTGTCAAGAGTAAGCGATTCAATTAGGTATTATTATTATATAAGAAATGAACTATATTTACTTGACGGACTAATATTTTACAAAGACAGAGTTGTAGTCCCAAAAATATTGAGAGAGAGCATGCTAAGATTATTGCATTCTAGTCATTTTGGCATTCAGAAAACCCAACAGAGAGCAAGACAGATATTACATTGGCCACAAATGAACAAAAGTATAGAAGACTGGGTAAGAAATTGTAGCAAGTGTGAGATATTTAAAAGTCACAATGCTAAAGAGCCACTATTACTTAGAGATTTGCCTCAAGCACCTTTTGAAAAGGTAGCAAGTGATATATTAGATTATGGTGGACAGTCGTATCTAGTTCTGATCGATTATTTTTCTAAATGGCTCGATATAGTGAAAATTAATTCAAAAACTTCTCAGGTGGTCATCAAGGAGTTAAAGAAAATTTTTTCAACACACGGAATACCTTACGAAGTCATATCAGATAACATGCCTTATAATTCGTGGCATTGTCAGCAATTTGCTAAAGACTGGGATTTTCGGTTTGCAACGTCCAGTCCCCGCTATCCACGGTCTAATGGGCAGGCAGAACGAGTCGTTCAAATTGCAAAAAACATGCTTAGAAAGTGTGACGACTTAGATATGGCACTCCTGGAGTATCGCAATACTCCAATAAATGGAACAGATAAAACACCGGCCCAATTAGTAACTAACAGGGTTCTTAGATCGAAGCTACCATCGAATAAAAAGCACAAAGACATAAATCTAAAGGATGAGTGGGAGAAACTAGAGGCGAAAAGAAACGAATATAAAAATTATTATGATAGAAATACCAAGGTAAGAAGAGAAATAGTGCCAGGAGAGAATGTAGGTGTCAGAGAGGGTAGAGAATGGAGACCAGGTAAAGTTCTGGAAAAAGTGGATGAGGCACCCAGATCTTATTTAGTGCAGAAAGAAAATGGGGAAGTCATCAGGCGAAACAGTTATAACTTAAGGCCTTCCCTAGTTAAAGCGGAAATTAAGAAGAATACTGATTTTGCACATAATGATAGATCATTAAACTCCTCATCTGGGAATCAATGTTGTGGAGTAGAGGAACCTTCAACCTCCCAAATGAATGCTGAAAATAGAACTAGCGCTAGGCTCAAAAGGGCTCCAGTGCGTTTTAAGGATTATCAAATGTAAGGGGAAAGATGTCATATCAGTAGGTTATGATTACGGTCACGGGGCTCTAGGCACAATGTATGGAGACTCATTGTCAGTTGTCACTACTTGTCAGGATTGTTAGATCATAGGTTTTTGGACATTGTTGATTCCTAGAGACTTTGTTAATAAGTATGTTTAAATAAATGTATTAACTGCAATGAAATATTATTACTATGGCATAATATTAGGCAACTTTCCTCTATATCGTTAAAATATGTCACTGAATTTGATTATAAAAAATATATTAATAATAAATATTTATACATACCTATGGATACTTGTGATATTCTTTTATCTACAGCAGTCTCAATTTCTGTGTGTTTTTGTTCTACTTCTTTTAAGCTACTGATACTTTTGAGTTTTTGTGATTTATTTACATCTTGCAGTCTTGTAGATATTATTTCTTTAGACGATTCCCTACTAATATGATGTGAATCTGCAACCTCTGCAGTTTCTGATTTCATTTCTAGGATTCCGTTAATTTCTACCTTAACGTTTTCTGAGGGTTGTTTGTCTTTGGGTAAATTCTTGGGTAGTTTTGTTGTAAATATCTCGTTTTCACCTCCTAAGTTCGTTGAAAAAACCACGTTTTCACTACTGGTACTACTTTGACGACTAGGTTTACTGGTAGCCTTAGCTAGTGGTTGCTTTTTTTCCACAACTTCTTCTGGTTGAGAAACTTTTTCTGGAACAACGTCAACACTTCGGTTAGGATTCTCAATCACAGTGTCTTGGGAATCTTGACTTGAAGTTTTCCAGTCACTAATAGATCTATTATCATAATAAGTAGGAGAATGAAGTGGTATACGTACAGTAGCACACTCTAATGGATTTTCATAATGAGTTGGTTTTGACTCGTTAAATTTGAATTCTAATTTACCTATGCCTTCACTACTACGGACTGTTTCTTGTGAGCTAGTTTCAGATTCAGACTTAACTTTATCTTTTTTACCTGATTTAAATAGTGATAGAACAGACTTATGCTTCGATTTACTATCAATACTCTCTGTGGAAGATGGTGCTGTGGAAAGGGACGATTTATGACTTTCTCTATCTCGACTTTTGGATCTACTTCTGCTTCTGGTGCGCAAATTGTCACCAGCATCTTTTAATATACCGGATATATGATTTTTCCTTCGACTACTGCCAGGTACAGAAGGAGATTCGGGACTTATAACCGCTTCTTTACTTTTAAATAACGAGGCAAAAGATGATCTTCTCGAAACGGAAGGAGAAGGAGTAACACTTTCTACTGGAGCATCAATAACACCAGTGGAAATTTTTGGACTGCCGTTGGTAGCTGCAGAAAACATTTTATCACTTTCTTTAACGTATTTTATAGTTTTATCAACTTTTAGAGGTTCGCTAAAAGTCGAGACACTTTCAATTTTGTCTAGATCTAAAAAATCTGGTTTGTGAACATCTCCTGTTGGTGATTCCTCGGAGTAACATTTCTCTGGTTTTAGTTTTATTCGGATATACTTTGGTTCTTCTTCTCTCTTTGTAATAGATGGGGAAGGTGTAGGAGTTGCCGATTTACATCTCGGCTTTGCTTCAGGTACTTTGGATTTACTGGTGGTTGCGGTTTTTGACTGGTAATTAGCAGATTTAACTTCTCTCAGTTTAGGTTTTCCCTTTAATACAGGACCAGTTTGAGGCGTAGGAAGATCTGGAGGCAATGGTCCTTTAAGAGGAATGTAAAAATATTCGACACCACTTTGAGAGACAAACCGGCTTTTTATTTCAGAATTTGTATTATTGCTTTCGGAACTTGGTTTGTCAACTGTTATGGTTATCTCACTTTTGCTGTCTTCTTTTATTTCTCGCTTCCTGGCTGGCTTCTCAGGTTGAGTTTTTGGAACTAGAGGTTGTGCCATTTCTACTGAAATTCCTAAAAAAAAGTAGGTTAAGCTTTATTTGTTACTTCATTCAGTTCAATTTTACAAGATTGTAATATATTTGTTTACACCATATTTCATATTGATTTTATAATGGCGTTGGCTATTTGTGATAGGTTAGTTTATAAATTTACTGACATATTATATTCTAAAAATTAAGTGTGTGTAAAAAACCATAATCCCTATTGGGACGCCTATTGTGGTATAAGGGATGTCATAGCGATCACAAGTTAGCAGATTTTATGGCCAACCAGAAACCGATAATGAACAAAATAGCAAAGAGACAAATGAATTGGTATGGGCATCTGATGAGGATGCAGTCCAATAGAATAACATGAGAAGTTTATGAAGCAAAAAATATCGGAAAAAGAAAAAGAGGCACATCAAGAAAAAAATGGATACAGCAAGTAGTAGAGGCGGGGAAACAAAAATCACTCGAGGAATTGAAAATAATGGCAGGAAACAACAAAGAATGGAAGAGGTGGGTAAATGGAAATTAAAATAGCTAGCCTAAATCCGACACCTTGATAGGGTAAAAGAAAAAAGAGAAAGAAAGAAAGAAAGAAACATGGTAAAAAATGGTTGTTTTTTGTTGACAAAAGCCTATCGATTACTAAATCTACAAAACTAATAAATATATAAAATAATCAAGATATAACTGACCTTCAGCTAAAATTGCAGCTGTTGGATCGTGTTTTCTAGAAAGTAAAATTTTTTCCATAACTTCGGTTTCAACTTTGGTCCCTGTGTGATCCTCATCTACTTTAGTCACCTCGTTAGCGTTTTTTGTACCACAAAAAGACGTTTCTAAAAGCATCTTATGCGGAGAAGAACATCTGGATAAGCCCGACTGTCCAGATAACATTGAAATATGACTGGCATTGGATAAACGACTTTGATTAGAACCTTGGCTGCCTATGCTTGATAATCTCGATGTTCTACCTGATATCGACAGAAGTACAATATCAGAACATTGTGAATCTTTTCTGGCTGTTACAGGCTCTTCTAGAATGGATGGAGATTGAGGTCTTCCTTTGCTGCTTCTTCTCCTTTCCACTGACATATCTTGAAAGTCCAACTCTTCCGTAGACGATCGCAGATCTAGTGCACCATCTTCTTTAAAGCCTAAATTTATAAAAAATAAATCGATAAAACAAACACGTTAGTAAATATAATTAATAACATTTTTTTAACCTTAACTAGAAAACTGTTTAAACGGAAAATTAGAATATTTAAAGTACTTCTAAGGTTTGATTCTGTCATCCAGTGTTTTTTTAGCCTCTGACCTATGTTGTATCATTTAAATGTAAAAAATGTATATGTAAAAAAAAACACTGGATGACAGAAGTAATACTATTACTGATGGAAGAAAAAAGGAAATATAAAGGAAAAGATCTTCTTCTTCTTCTTCTTCAAGTTCCACTCCTATCGGAGATTGGAAATCATTCTGGCAATTATAATTTTATTGGTTACTCGCCTGAATAGTTCAATTGAACTGCATCCAAACCACTCACGGAGATTGCGTAGCCACGAGATATTACGTCTTCCTAAGCTTCTTCTACCTTTGATTTTTTTACCCTGCATTATGTTCCTTAGTAGTTCGTACTTTTCACCTCTCATGATGTGCCCCAAGTATTCCAATTTCCTGATCTTTATGGAATTTAAAACTTCGCATTGTTTTCCTAGTTGTTCGAGAACTTGTTCGTTTGTTTTGCGATCCATCCATGATATTTTCAAAATGCGTCGGTAACACCACATTTCGAATGCTTCTAGGTTTTTAATGTTGGATTTTTTAAGTGTCCAAGCTTCAACTCCATACAAGAGGGTAGAGAAAATATAACATCGAAGCATTCTTATCCGGAGCGATATATTGATATCGCGATTACAAAAAAGTTTTCTCATTCTATTAAAAGTTGACCGCGCAATTTCAATGCGGCATCTTATTTCTTTTGTCTGATCAGTATCTTCTGTGATCCATGCTCCAAGGTATTTGTACGAAGATATTTGTTCAATTTCTGTATTATCTAGTACTAGCTTAACTTTGATGTTTTGTGCTTTTGTAAATACCATGAACTTGGTTTTCTTCAAATTGATTTTTAGTCCATAATCGTTGCAATATATATTTAGTTGTTCAGCAAGGTGTTGCAGTTCTTCTAGTGTTCCTGCCAAAAGATCTACAGAAGTATAAAGAAATACAACAAATAATTTAAAAAAATCAAAACAGCTAAGGAAATCTATTTGATGAAACAATGTAAAGAGATAGAAGAACTAGAAACAATATATGATATGAGAAATATGCACAAAAAAATTAGAGAAGTGACTGGAATGGGTCGAAATAGACAGCAAGGACACATAATAGACAAAAAAGGAGTACTACTAATAGATTTACTAGGAGGAGTACGTTAGAGAACTTTTCCAAGATGAAAGAGGTGAAATGGAAAAAATACAAGAATTAAATCCTTTATAGAGACAGAAGATCACGACAGATGAAATCAAATATGCTATCAAAAGCTCTAAAGACAATAAGGTAGCTGGATTAGATGAAATTCCAGTAGAACTGTTAAAACTAGTGAAAGACGATAACTTGGAAGTATTGGCAGATTTATTCAACACGGTGTACGATACGGGAATAATACCACAAGAGTGGCTGAAGTCAGCATTTATAACCATCCCTAAAAAACAAGCAGCAAAAGAGTGCTCTGATTATCGAACACTGAGCCTCATGAGTCATACTTTAAAAGTTCTGCTAAAAATAATACATAAGAGAATATACGAAAGGCTAGAGGAGGATATTAGTGAGACGCAGTTTGGGTTCCGAAATGGAATGGGTACTCGAGAAAGACTATTTGCCATCAACATATTGATTCAGCGATGTCGGGATGTAAATGTTGATCTACACTTGTGCTTCGTTGACTACGAAAAAGCTTTCGATAAATTAAGACATGAAAAACTAATATCATTACTTATGAACAAGCGCATTAACAGTAACATCATAAATATAGTACAAGTATTATATTGAAACCAAAGTGCCATAGTTCAAATTAATGGGCAACACTCAGAAGAAATGAAGATCTGTAGAGGAGTTAGACAGGGATGTGTTTTATCGCCACCTTTGTTTAACTTATATTCTAAAGGAATTTTCCAAAACACGTTCAATAATATCGAAGCGGGAGTCACCCTTAACGTAAAATTAATTAACAACTTAAAATATGCAGACGACACTGTGATCATAGCAACGAGTATAGAGGATTTACAACATCTTATCGAAAGCTTGAGTATGAATAGTGCCGAAATGGGAATTACTATAAACGCTAAAAAACGAAGTACATGCTAATTACAAAAAGACCATAAAATATACATCACCTATTGACAATCAATGGTAAGGTGATACAACAAGTAGAAAAATATCAGTACTTGGTAACTTTGATCGATGAAACCAATGATCATACTGTAAAAATAAACAGGCGAATAGAGATTGCCAGATCAGCATTTATACGAATGAAGCCACTCCTAACGTGCAAAAATGTAAATTTGGAGCTCAGACTACGTACCATTCGCTGATATATATTTTCAATATTATTATATGGAGCTGAGACTTGAACATTAAAAAAATGTAATTTAAAAAGAATCGAGGCCTTCGAACTCTGATTATACAGCAGAGTATTGAAAATATCATGGACTGATAGAATTACAAATGAAGAAGTACTGGAGAGGGTTGGTAAAGAAACAGAACTAATCACCACTATACAAACTAGAAAACTGAAATACCTAGGCAACGTGATGAGTAGACCAAAATATGAAATTTTGAGACTCATAATACAGGGAAAGATTCAAGAAAGAAGATCTGTTGGCCGAAGGCAGAACTTATGGTTAAAGACTCTACGTGATTGGTATCAATGTAGATCGATTGATTTGTTTACAGCAGCAAGTTCTAAAATAAAAATAGCCATTATGATTGCCAACCTCCCTTGAGAGACGGTACTCTAAGAAGAAGGTTTGATTTTTTAAAAAAATCTGTTTAAAAATGGTTCTGTAGATAAGAAAATTTATAAAAAAACATTTGAAATTAAATCATGGTTGAATACGTAAAAACAATCTCCTACACTTTCTTTAAATTCATGACAATTTCCTAACCGTTCGTTCATTCACTCAATTTCCTAATCTTCCCATTGAAATCACTATTGGGTGACTATACAAAAAGAATTGAACAGGAACACACGCTTCACGCTAAGGTGCCCTTCATAGCGACTTTTTTTTGCAACACAAACAATACAGGCAATGGTTAAAGGTAAATGACATAAAAGAAAAGACAATGGGAAATACAACAACTAACGTCCTACCATTTCGGATTCACACAACACTGAAAAAGGCAGTTTAGATTTTCCGTTTGGTACGTTTGAAAAATTCCCATAAAATTGAGCTTATGAATTTCGACTACCTAAATAGAGAATGGAAGCAACGTTCTGCGGCAAAATTATTTTTTCTTGAGAGATGGCTTGAAATAAAAATGTTTGGCTTCTTGATTATATCGACATTGAAATATCCAGTGGTTAAGGTCGTCATAACTGCCATTACATTCACATATATCAGTTTCGGAAAGTTTTTTTTATATAGGTAAGCGTTTACTGTAGCATGTCCAAAAAGGCATCTAACGTACATAAAATAAATTTTCCGAGAGGTAGGACTTCTGTCATTTGAACGAGTAGATGGAAGAGTTGGATATATACTGCAGTATGTATTTTTGCTACTGTTAGTAAAGGATTGCCACTCAATTTCCCAATTAAGTCTAACATGTTTCTTCCTAGCTGAAACTATATCCCATTTGCGCAACTCGTTGTACTCTATACCCACTAAAGTAGCGTCTTTAGTCAAATGGTCTACTTTTTCATTGCCTGCATTAGAATACTTAAATATACACTTTTCACCTAATAATTTATTTTTTGGGTAAAATGTTATTTTAAATACATATTGAAATTTAAAAAAATACGTAAAAATACAAAATAAAGTACAATTTTTAAAGAAAACCTAATGCGACAGTGGAAATAGAAATAGTGGAAATAATACATGGAACCAAACATGTGTTTTAAAGTGTAATTTATTATTACATAAGAATACTTAGGAGAAACATGATTGTTTCAGGCATTAATATTTGAATTATTAATACAAAAATTAAATTGTATTACCTAATCCCAATTTGGCACTATTAGGATCATGGGTATCATAAATTTCCCTCTCAGGACTGCTATCCTTACTATCATGATGTGAAGAGCTGCTGGCCCTCGAAATGTCAATTCGAGGTGTGGTCGGTGGCTTAATGTTATTCTTCTTTACCGTAGGATGGCTTGGAATTGGTGTGGCGCTGGACCCTATGAGGCTTATCCCCTTATGTGGAATTGCTGGCGATGGCGATCTATCAGTCATGGCTGGAGTAGTGGGTGTCAGATCCTCTCTTATACCTGGTAATCGGACCACGGAACCGGCCACGTTCTTGTCTTCGGGACTTTCAAGCTACGATACAAAATTGATTGCCATAATATTGATTGCAGATATTATTGTGCAAGTTTTGGGGGAGCTGGTTGTTTTTAACTAGCTGGATCTGCAATTAGCGGGAGCACTAAGTTAAAAACTATACCTATTTGGGGCAATTTGTTTGATGTAAATCACCAGCGCATGTGTGACTTGTATGAAAAGATGGGTGTTCCTGTGAAATGACGTTAGTCTTTGAATACATGTTTAAAAGAGCAAGTTACGAACTTCTACAGTTTCATTCGTTGAGTCATATGTTTTGTTTACGTTTAATATGTTCCGCAAAGTTTTATTTTACTGGTTGAAAAAATTTTTTGACGCCTTGGAACAGGTGAGAAATACAACATCATGTTCTGAAGCAAGTGGGACAAATAATACTAGTGTTAACTTTGGCAACACAGTTACCAGCGAAGTGATACAAACTAGTGGTCAAATTTAAATAATATTATTACAACTGCAATATGAAGGCTGAGGTATTTTCTAACACACTAAAAATATATATCAATATTCTTTCTAATCCATTATTTCCATTTTTTTAATTAAAAGTTTTCATTAATTCTTCTTTTTTTCTCCTTTTTATGTAGACAAAGGCTTGTTAATAAATAAACCACTTTCGATTTTATAATATTAATCGGTGTGGATATTATCGTCATCATCATCAGCAGCTATTCCATCCATCGTCGGATAAAAGCCTCCCTTAGATGTGTCCATTCATTTCTGTTTGTTGTTTTTTGCATCCATTCGTGACCAGTCATTAGCTTTTCTTTATATACTATTTGGTATTGCATATATTGTATGTTTATCTTATCTTGTTGGATTTATTTTATTTTGGTGCAAATTTTACTGCTCGTCCCATTTTTGTATTTGACCAGGCGATATCTGTTTTGGGTTGGGTAAATTGTATATGATCCTATTTTTTTTTTGCTTTAATCGCTTCGAAATATTAGTAGAAAGGATAATTTTACTAAGCAGACACTTCAAAAGGTGAGCTAAATTTTTTATTAAGCAATTTCTGAAAAAAAAAAAATATTTTCATTGCTATATCCCCAGAACTATGCATTTTAGAGAAAAAATTGTAGGAATAAAACAGTTTTACAATAAAATTTAGAGAAGATAGTGTATTCCGAGTTTGAATTTGTATCAGCCCAAGTGTCTGATGAGGCTGGGATAGGCCGAAATGATTCATAACACTTTATGGATACCGATTCGAACACGGGAAGTTTAACGAATTTGTCCTCCTAGGCCATATATTTGGCCATTTAATTCAACAAAGCGATAGCAGCTTTTGCTAAAAGATTTATACTTTTACACATTTCGAATAGCCCAGAGAACACAGAAAACGATATTATTATATCGTTCTCGTTCACGGCCGCCACAGCAGGTGGCGCCTCTGTACGCTAACTACTGTTGTAGTGAAGTTTTGGGAGACATTCGTTGGACTTTCCGACTTTGAATTTGTATCAGCCCAAGTATCTGAGGAGGCTGGGATACGCCAAAATTAATCATAACACTTTATTGATGCCGATTCGAGCACGGAAAATTTAACGAATTTGTCATAGGCCATATATATATATATATATATATATATATATATATATATATATATATATATATATATATATACTGCCCAGCATAAAATCTCTCGATGGTCACCTCGTAATTTACATTTAGTTTATAAATTATTCTTTATTACCTATTTTCGACTGTAACATAGTTTACTAACGGATTGCTTAGAGAAAATAGTTCTCTTAAATTTCTGGGTGCCAGCACATGATTCCGTAAATGTCTCTTTATCTCACCTCAAACGTGTTCTATGAGATTCATATCTGGACTGCTAGCAGGCCTAACAAATAATGTGATTTGAACTTTGTCAAGATACTCGATAATTATCCGAGCAGAGTGGGACCGTAAATTATCATCCATAAATGTTGTGTCGTCTCCAAGAATAACCATGGTAAAACATGGGCTTCTAGAAACTGTGTCAGGTACCTGTGCGTAGTCAATGTCTCATTCTTCATAAAAACTTACTCCGTGCGAGCGTCAAATGGTATGCCTCCATATACCATAACTGACCCTCCCCCAAATGGAAATTGCTTGGCAACACATGCTTGAGCATATCTCTCGCCTAGACATCACCACATTGTTACAAGTTTGACTGAGCTCGTAAGACAGAATCTCGATTCATCGGAAAACAAAACACGAATTATTTATTGTCAAAGCCAAATATTCTCGTGCAACATTCAATCTGGCAATTCGGTGTTCACGGGAAAGCGTAGATCCAGTTAATCTAGTTAGAGCAGATAAACCAGCAGCATAAAGTCGCCTCCTAACTGTCCATTTGCTTACATTTACATTTCTTACTTCTTGCATATTATTTCGAAGGGAAACTTCCGTGACCGTTCGGTCGACAAAGCGGTCATCTCTAGCTGTTGTAATTTTGGGTCGCCCTGAACTAGGTCTTCGAATAAGCAGACCGGTCTGCTTACTTACACCAACGTTTCTAGCAGTTTCACGCCGACCATGGCCATCTTCTCACGCTGCCTCAATTCTTGTCATCACAACAGAACTTATGCTGATTTCAATACACAGACAGTGACAACACTACATAAACAATTTACAATTGAAGTTAAAACCACAGAAACAAAAACTATGCTGATATGCGGTTTTTAGGAATTAGGGTAAGGGATTATTTACATCTCACACGAATATCAAACAGCAACAACAACAGTTTTTTTTAAACAATTTATTAATTTTATGCACTTCAGTGTATATATTTTGATGGCATGGTATATACCTTATTAATCGGGAAATTAATAACTAAAATATGGAGGCCCTGAACTTGCAAGTAAACTGTCACAACTATTTATTAAAATCTTAAACGACACATAAACTCCAGAGGAATGGCATAAGAGCATCACAATCCACATATTTAAAAAAGGACAAAAAACTTGCTCACAGAACAACAGAGGAATAACCCTCTTAAATACAACGATGAAACTTTTCACGAGTATTCTTAAGGACAAATTGAAAAGGCAGAGCATTATTGCTGAAGAACAACAAGGTTTTACAAGACGGCGGTCTATATCAGATGCAGTATTCATAATAAACAAATAAAAGAAAAAGCTATAGAGTTCGGCATGCCAGCGTATATTTGCTTCATATAGTGTCCTTTTGGTAGTCGCTTTATTTGCTTTTTTTCTATCTTAATATATTCTTTATATCCTCCCCTTTTATTTGCTACGTCTCATGTTAGTATTCGATTAGTTATTTATTTTGTACTCAGCAAGAGGCCTTCTTTAAGCCAATAAATCAAAATTTGTCTGATAGTAAATCTGCTTTTATTCATAGTGCCCTATGATATCTCCTCTGTCGCTGTACGTTAATTAATAATGAAGATACTGTGTAGTGCCCTTTTGGTAGCCGCCTTGTTTGTTTTTTTTATCTTTGTATATTCGTTACATCTTCCTCTTTCATTTAACGTATGACGTTTTCCAATCAAATCAAAAACTACGGAGATATGATGTAATGTCCTTTTAACAATATTATGCCGTTTTGTATAATTTTCCTGTCTCAGCATATTCTTTACCCCCACTCTAAAACTTTAAATTATTTTGCTTAATAAATCTTATCTTGCAATTACAGTAACCTATATTTTTAGCAATTTTGCGAAAAAATTAATTACTGATGAAATAGTAAAATTTTAGAGTAAGAATATGTGAATCATCAATTTGTAGAATGAATTAGCAATAAATCAACCGCGTCCTTTCACCACCAGTTGGTGGTTCAGGTTTCTACTACTAGGTGGCGCTAGAAGTTATGGTCCCGGACAAAATGCGTGACGTGTCTTCCTAGACTTTTACATAGATGGATTGTATTGTAATTGAAAATTGACAAAGTTGTATTTGTTTATTAACTTAAAAAATGTATAGTTTTGTAAAAAATTCTCCAAGCCTTCCTATTCAACAGATTTTAATGATTCGAATTATGTTTAAAAGCTTTGGATACCCTTTTTTATCTAAAAAATAAAGTTTTCTTTGTTCGCATTTTTTTGTCGCCTCTGCATAATTTTGAATTGCGGAAATTGAAATTATTTTGCAAAAACTACTTAATCGATTGTGATGAAATTTTGTGTAGTGTTTTTTATATTAATAGTACATTGTTTACCGGGTAGGAAAAGCTTAACATTCCTGGACGACTGTGAAGATTGCTAAGTCGAGGCGCAAGCCGAGACTTAGCAACACAGAGTCCAGGAATGTGGCTTTTCCTACGAGGTAAACATACTATTTTTCCGCAAATCGTTTAAAATTCGACAGATATTGATTGATTTAAAAAAAACGCGATAATTTTATTCCCAAATAAATGGTGCTTTGAAATTCCTAATAAAATTACTTGGGTTACTATGGAAACGTATTGAGGTTGAATTGTCAAACTTATAAATTTAATTGCTGGTGTTCTCGAAAGTAAAATGATAAGTGATGATGAAATTTCCATTCCTGGGACTCCTCCAGAGCTGGTTGAGGCAGTGAATACTGCTTCATTAGAATTATTGCCAAAGAAATCAAGAGAAAAGTAGGAAAATGCATTTTCACAGTACAAAATATTCAACAAAATGACACTTCCACCCTGCATGTTGTCCAAAATGTTTCTCATAGTTCTAAGAGTGTTCCTCCAATGTTCAATAATTGTACTAACTGTCAAATTACTGTAAATATAACAAATTGATCTTAAAAATGTATTCAGCAATGACTTGATGTTTTCAAAATATAAATTAATTCCTTATAAGCAATGTGTTTTCTATCATTTATGTAGAACACTAACAACTGTACGGAAATATCATTTCCTTACAGTAAGGAAGTCCTGACTTTTTCTTCAAGAAAATTTGACAGGAATGTCAAAATTTCCTGGCGATTTGCGGAAAAAAAATTTTTTGGCAAATTTTGAAGTTTCTATGTGACTTTTAAATACCCGGAAAACATTATTGAAAAAAAATTGATTTTTTACCATTTTTTAATGGTTTTTTGCTTTACAATAATTATGATTTTTTCAATTTGTAATCAATTATAATATCTTGTAGGAAATTTAATGGCAAAACTTTTTTGGCTTCACAATTTTTTTCTAAAATACAAAGATGCAGACAGTAGCAAAGAAACTGCGAAAAAAGCTATTTTTTCATAAATTGTTGTCATAAAAAATTTATCCCAGCTTTTGAATTGTCCACATAGTGAAATTATCATTTTTAGCAGTATTTCGAAGCGATTAAATCGAAAAATAGGATCATATATACGATTTACCAAAATGAAAGTGTTTTAAGTAGAATAGATACTGCCTGGTCTATATTTGGAGTATAAGACTTTAGTCTTCTCTTTAGATGAGATTTTAAATACCGTTCTTACTAATGTAATATCTTTAAAGAGCTTTTACCTGTTTTGAAGGCTCTTTTTATACATTTAAATTGTGATACTCTGTTTTTCTCATTTCTGCGCTGAGCTTGTTAGAATGTTTCAGCATTTCAAGTCTTTTTTCTTGCACTTAAACACTTCATTATCATCTCGCGTATTCTGGTTTTTATTTCTGGTAGATATGAATACACCGTTATATTTAATATTGTTTGAATTGAAGTTAATATATAATTTAAATATTATCAATATTTATTGGTAATAACCATTGCAACACAAAATAAGCATGAGCTTTAAAGGCAGTGGCGCACCTAGAGTTTTCCTCTGGGGGGGTTTTGGATGTGCACCGAAATTTTTTATGGTACCTCCACCATTTTGAGTCCTTAAGATTTGTGAGTAACAGTGTCGGAATAGTATCCTGGGGGGGGGTCAACCCCCAAAACCCCTTCCTCTGGGTACGCCACTGTTTAAAAGACATCTATTCTTAGTTTTTATGAGATATTTATTGACACAAATTTTTGTAATAGTGTCTTTTCATATAAAAATTTAAAACAAATAAGTAGGATTGGTGAAATTACCTTTAAAATGCGGTGTATGTACAACAAATATGTATGTAAATATACAGATATAGAAATCAAGAATATTTGTACAAAAGAGCATAATGTAAACAGTATATTAAGAGAATATAAGAAAATGAAAATAATTTATCTGTATTGGTTGTCGTGATTTTATTTTGAATTTTTCTTTGAACATTTTACAGTTTATTATTCTGCAGTAATGTATTTATTTTGTTGTTTTTAATAATGTAGGTATATTTGGAAAAGTAATTAGTGTTTACTTAAATATTTAATTTTTGTGTTTTAATATTCTTAACATATGACCTTATTTAATTACTTATTTCATTATTAATCTTCTATAAATTTCCCACGTTAAAATTGGTTCTATTTATATTTTTTTTATTTATATTTTTATTTATATATTTTTTTAAATATATTTATATTTTTTTATTTATATTTTTTTACGAAAACCAGAAGTAAGAGAACAGATGATACAAGAAATTGATGAAGCAGTAACAAAGATACAACCCATAAAAGACAACACAAAAGTTAACATCAATGAGAATTGGACAGACATTAAAACAGCGTTATTAAAACCAAGCATAAGTTACCTCCATAAAAGTAAAGAATATAAAAAAGAATGGATGACAGATGAGATATGAGAGATGGTACGGGGAAAAATGCGAAGAAGGTACAGCTAAAGAAAACTGGTATGGGGAAAAATGCGAAGAAATCGAACAACTACAAAATAAACACGACAGCTTTAATGCACATCGGAAGATCAAAGAGTTGACAAGGAGACAAAGTAACAGACACAACATATTAGTAGACGAGAGTGGAAACATTATTATGGACACAGAAGAAAAATTAAGAGTCTGGAAACAGTACATAGAACAACTGTTTAAAGATCAAAGAGACAATGTAGATAACGAATACATAAACAGTGACACAGGACCAGAAATAACAAGATATGAAGTGGAATACACAATTAAAGAAATGAGGTCGGGGAAGGCTACAGGCCCAGATGAACTACCAATAGACATAATTAAACTCATTAAAAGCAACAACTTAATAAAGATCGTGGAACTATTTAACAGCATTTACAAATCTGGTATCATACCTAATGAATGGCTAGTAACAACAATAATAGCCATACCCAAAAAGTCTAATGCGAGACAATGCTTGGAACATCGCACCATCAGTCTCATGTGTCATATATTAAAGGTCTTCTTAAAAATCATTCATCGGAGAATATATAAAAAATTTGAAGTTGACATCGGACCCTCTCAATTTGGCTTTAGAGACGGACTAGGAACTAGAGAGGCACTGTTTGCTTTTAATGTTCTAACACAACGATGCTTAGACGTAAATCAGGACATATTTGTGTGTTTCCTAGACTAGAACAAAGCATTTGATACAGTACAACATAGGCCACTGATGCAAATACTGGAAAATAAAAATATTGATACAAGGGACATGCGAGTGATAAGGAATCTATACTACAAACAAGAAGCTACAGTACGAATTAACAGCTCGATATCAGATAGAATACAGATCAAAAGAGGTGTTCGGCAGGGCTGTGTGTTGTCTCCAACCTTGTTCAATGTCTACGCGGAAGAAGTTATTAAAAAAGCTCTTATGAACGAAAAAGCCGGAGTAAAGATCAACGGTCACCCCATTTGCAATATCCGATATGCTGATGATACCACGCTCATAGCAGAAAATATTGACGACCTACAGAGATTACTAAACAAAGTGGTAGAAGCAAGTGAAGAATTTGGTCTGTCACTGAATACAAAGAAGACCAAATTCATGATAATTACAAAGAAACGTATCAATAATATCAACTTACATGTAGGACAGAATCTCATTGAACGAGTACAAAATTACAATTACCTCGGAACAAATATTAACGAGTCAAACTAATACACCAGAGAAATAAGAATAAGAATATAGAAAGCCCGCAGTGCCTTTAACAATATGTTATGTTTTCTCAGTCCTGTTATATGGGGTGCAGGCGTGGACACTAAATAAGCAATGTATGGGTAAGTTGGAGGCATTTGAGATGTGGGCGTACCGAAGAATGTTAAAAATCTCCTGGAAGAATAAGATAACTAACCAAGTTGTATTAGACAGGATGAACAAACAAAAGGAGGTCGTATTGAGTGTTAAAATGAGGAAACTACAATACCTGGGACATATTACACGTGGGAATAAATGTCAACTGTTACAACTAATTATGCAAGGAAAGATTGAAGGTAGGCGCCGCATAGGTAGGAGAAGAATGTCATGGTTGAGAAACCTCAGGGAGTGGTTTGCTTGCACTTCCATACAATTGTTCCGAGCGGCAGTCTCCAGGGTCAAAATTGCCATGATAATAGCCAACCTTCGGAGCGGAGATGGCACGTGAAGAGGAAGATATTTTTTTTCCAACAGGGTACCACTTAGGATTACCCACTCTGTGGTAAAATCATTAATTTATCCTAAAACGCTGGAGATAAGTGCTTTAAAAATTAACTTAAGAATTATCTATTATATTACGTCACTTAAAAAGAGTGCGAACTTGTAAATTTCACACAATTGACCTATTTAACCTCCTCGGATCCCAGGTATCATACGATACTACGGTTCAATATAAATCATTTTTCGAATTCGACGGCAAACGCAGTTATTCTGCCCGTAGTAATTATCGCTCGTGTTAAGCATCTACTATGCGTAGAAAATTGCGCAGTGGCACACTTCTCGATTAAAATGAGTTAGTCTGACTTTTGTTTTGAGTAAGTAGGTAAACACGTCATGACAAACGCTAAAAAAATCATCAATAATAAAAGTAAGTACATAATATTTAGCATGTTTCTGTATATGATCAGTGCATTTTAGTGTTAAAAAGGTACTAAATTGAAATTGTGATAAATTGATGATAGGTACAATAGTTCTTTGGCCCTAAACACAAGGTATCATTGATGATACATTGGGTCCTAAACGGTAGTGTATTTTAAAATATTGTTTTTTACTTTAAAGACCGCTGACTGCGACTGAACTTCATTAAATCGAAGCTAATGTGAATTTAGATGACTCTGATTTGGATCTTTTTCTTTTTCCTGACAGTGATGATGATGGGGATAAATGGGATGAACCTAGAACCTAGACGACGATTCGGATGATGACATACTCTTGGCTGCTCTTGGCAACCCGGCTTTTAAAGAAGAGTACCACGGCAAATTCTATTCCTAAAAAGACAGGAAAGAATGGAAGAGAACACATTTTACACCACAATTTGCCCAATATCAACCCTCTGTGCAAGATCCCTTAAATCACGAAAATATTCCGAGACATATTGACTACTTTAATACATACATTGACAACATTTTTTTTAAATTCATGACGTTGTACACAAATATGAATGAAGTAAAAAAACTGAAAAATCTTTGGAGATTTCTCCAGAAGAATTAAAAACGTTTATTGCATGTTGCTTGCATATTGGTATTTATAATTTATCACGAATCAGAATGTTTTGGCAAATCGATAGCAGGGTACCAATAGTACCAATAGTTTCAGACAACATGTCAAGAAATCGTTTTTTTGCCATTCGAACACGACTTAAAATTATTGACGATGATTCTGTAGCCAATGAGTCTAAACAAAATGATAGATTCTGGAAAGTAAGACCATTGTTGGATTAAATTCAAAGGGTTTTTCTGAATAATGAAGGAACTGAAAAAAGTGTCAATCGATGAGCAAATGATTCCCTTTCATCGAAAAGTATTAATAAGACACTTTGTGCAAGTAAAACCTAACCCTATAGGATTGAAGAATTTCGTCATGACTACGAGAGTGATTCCACTTGATTTTCACATGTATGAAGGTAAAGGCAGATTTATTGAATCCAGCTTGGTAAAACAAATGAAAAATGGAAAAACACCAGGAGAAGATAAAATTACTTCAGAGATGCTACAAATGGGAGGCACTACATTAGAAGAGGCAATAAGAGCATTACTTAATAAATGCCTATTGGAAGGACAAATACCGAAGACGTGGAAAAATGCGAAAG